TTCTAATATAGCATAGCAGGGGAGCAGAAAGATTGCCAGTGGCAGCCAGGAACATCTGCATATCTGAAGCATACAAGCTATATTTACTAGTACAAGAATCAGGATAAATGTTAGCATCCACTGCAGGAGTTGACTATTTCCAGCTGATATACTATTCTTGCCCTATCCATGGTAAATTATTCGTGAAGTGTGTCTGAACAGCATTAAATGCTAACTTCATAATATGATTTTTTCCCTCCACCCTTCAAACAAATACTTCTGGGGCTTCAGAGCATGAAATAAGTAAGCTCCACTGAGAGTGCGGTATTTTTAGCTTCTTCGGGCATGTGATGAGGCTGCAGCTTCTGTTGGGATCATCAGTATCACAAATTTTAAAATGATTGAAGCAATAGGAGCACTTACACACATACAAAAACAGGGGTGCTACAATGAATAAAAGTTCCCTACCCTTTTAATCATGTAGTAAGCACAGCTAAGCAAAGCACAGACATTGCGAGCCAGTTCCTATTTTCTCTGTTCTGTGCGGCAGCTGAGAACACAGAGGGGAAAACATAGAAAACAGGCTGGCCATGCATTCCTTCCACCACCACCTATGATCTTTTATCTCCGAGTACCTTTCCTTGCTAAATCACCTGTTACCATATCAACAGAGTCCTTCCTTCAGGAGGTTTTACTCTACATTAAGGAGCAGTACAAAGCCTGGGAAAAGTTATTTTTTGGACTATAACTCCTAGAATTCCCTCAGTGGCTGAGGTGGCTAGGGGATTCTGAACTGTTTTGTTAAAAATATAACTTTTCCAGGCTCTAGATGAAGAGAAAGGGGTGACACAATTGCAACTTTAAATATAGAATCATAGAGTTGGAAGAGACCACGAGGGTCATCCAGTCCAACCTCCTGCCATGCAGGAACTCAAAATCAAAGCATCCCCAACAGATGGCCAGATATCTGAAGGACTTTCACAGAGAGTTGGGTGCATGCCTGTTCTCTGTTACCATAGAATCATAGAATCGTTGTTGTTGTTGTTAACCACCCTTGAGTTGATCTCGACTCATGGTGACCCTATGGGTGAGACATCTCCAAGACCCCCTTGGACCCCCTCCAAGACTACTCTTCCCAATTTCTGCAGATTCATTCCCATGACTTATTTAATTGAGTCCATCCATCTAGCATGTGGGCTTCCTCTCTTTCTAATTCCCTCCACCTTTCCCGACATTATTGTCTTTTCTAATGTGTCATGTCTTCTCTTGATGTGGCCAAAGTATGACAACCTCAGTTTAATCATCTTTGCTTCCAGGGAAATTTCAGGCTTGATCTGCTCTAGGACCCATTTGTTTGTCCTTTTGGCTATCCACAGAATCCTCAGCACTCTTCTCCAGCACCACATCTCAAAGGAGTTTATTTTCTATAGGTTTTTGTGGGTTTTGGGGAATGTGACGCTGTGTTATAGAAGAATGTATTCCTGACGTTTTGCCTGACGTTTTCTCTGAAGATGCCAGCCACAGATGCAGGTGAAATGTCAGGAATACATTCTTCTAGAACACGGCCTCACAGCCCAAAAAATCCACAAAAACCTATGGATGCTGGCTGTGAAAGCCCTCAACATCACAGTTTATTGTCTTTTCATCCATTTACTTACATTTCCACCTCTCACATCCATACATAACAATGGGGAATGCTTGTACAATTCTGACTTTCGTGTTTAGTTGTGTATCTTTGCTCTTTAGGACCTTTTCTAGTTCTTTCATAGCTGGCCTTCCCATTCTTAACCTTCTTCTAATTTCTTGACTGCAGTCCCTGTTCTGATCCCTGAGGGTAGGAAAGTCTAATGGTTTCAAGGTACAGGAGGGTAGGTTTCAAATGAACATTAGAAGGAATTTCTTGAGAATAAGAGCAGTAAGAGCAAATGGATCCTCTTTCCTCATTTTTAAAACCTCCCATTTGCTCCTACGTGCATTGAATTACATAGCAATAAATACCTTTTGTAACCCAGTAAAGAAACCAAGTGATTCAGGTCTTTTCCTTTTCGGAAATTACTCACACAAAGAGATTCTTTTCTCTCTGTCAGGTCGCCATGTCCTCCCTCCCACACATCTTCCTCCAAAAGATGGTGAGACCTAAAGCTTTCCTCTTTTACCTGATCTATTCATTAAATAGTTAGGATGTACACTCCCCATGAATATGTAGATTCAAGCCATTAGTAAACTTTTCATTAATTGCAAGCTACCAGCCTTGTTTGTTTTTGTGTCAGCTTCAGTTCTCAGAGAAGCATAGTCAGATTGGGGCACATGTTTTTTTCTGTTACTCTGCAAATGAAACTTTAATCTCTAGCACTCTCAGCTTTGATATTTTGATATTTAGATGTTTTGTTTCCTAAGTAATGGCTGAAGCCTTAGGAAAATTGCATTGCTCAATAGGTTCAGGGATCCAGAATCAGTAAGCCATGATCAATCAGAAGCCAAGAATCAGTAACCATTGTCAGAAGCGAAAAATATCTGATGCTCAAACAGTCCAGGATCAAGAATGCTGTATATCAGTGTCAGGATACCATGGAGTAGTGGTAGCCAAGTCCTTAAATAGTTCAGGGATTATAAATCTGCTAGACGCACTTTCACAAGCTGAGCTGTCAAGAGGAAGACTGAAGCTGAACACCGCAAGCTAAGTGGTACCTGCCTTTTATAGGCAGCATGTTCAGCCAATGCCAAGATCCAAGGCAATATTTAGGGAGAGCATTCCACAGCTGTGCTCCTCCTGATGCCTTCATTGCAGCTTTTCAATTCAGTTCTGTGAAGAATTGTCTGGGCCAGACGCCTGAGCTTCCACCTTTCTCTGGGATTCGGAAACCTCTCTTCTAGCTCCTCTTCCTGCCCTGAACCAAACCTGATCTGCTGAACAGAAGGGGGACTTGTCTAGCTATCAAACATTGGTTGTGACACTTCCATTGCTAAGTCTGCCCACTTTCAAGGGTTGGCACAACAGGGGTTTCCTCAGGACCTTCAAAAAAAGGCTGGACAGCTACCTGCTGGGGATGCTCTAGCTGGAGATCCTACATTGAGCAAGAACTCAATGGCCCATGAGGTGCCTTTCCAATTCTGTGATTCTATAGATCAGCAATTGGCAGCCCTTGGGCTCAATCTGACAATCAACAGTCTTCCCATTTTGGTTCCAAAACAGCTGGAAACCCCTGATGTACTCTTCTATTATTATGTACTTTCCTTTTCATCCCATAGGAGCTGACACGAAGGTCACAGATTCTTTAACCCTCCACTACCACCACCACTTCTATTTCAGGGTCAAGCTTTGCTGCCTTGGTTTTAGAAGCACAGCTTGGAAATAATGCATTGATACTGTTGCAATAATTGTGCTTTAAACAGAGCAAAGGAAAATATTTTGAGTGACATGCAATATGTAGTGACATGTATTCTATGTGACCACCACAGACAGCTTAGGCATAAGGCAAAGTTGCAGCAAGCTTGCATCATGAAGAATGAGCCAACCACCTATATAAGTGAGCCAAGAGACTGATTATGTGTGGAGTATTAGTTGGAGTAATGTTGAAGTATCAGGAGTAATAGTTGAAGTAGTTGGTTAAAAGTTGGTGGAGAGAAGTCGGAGTGTGTATATATATGTGTGTGTTGTATTGTACACAACATAACTGAAGATAAAGCCTCCAGAACTTTTGGATGAACCACTACATCTGTGAATCTTCTTTCATGTGTGAAAAGTGGGTCAGAGCATTGCCAATACTGATACCTGGGTTTTTGTTTTCTGTTGCTATAGTATTGTTTGGCTGCATCTGGGTTGACTTGTCCCCAGACTGTGCCGGGAGTTGGCTTTTCTCCTCGCCAAGTACCATGTAATACGTTTCTTTTGGAAGTGATGGCATGCTATTTTTTACAAAGTAAGACAAAGACAAAGACAGATAAGGGCATTGATTTTAAATGAAACAAGTAATGCTAGCTTGTTACTCCTAAAATGATGCCTTTGCAGGTCTATTTGGAAGATATGGGCCCTCTTTTTTTTTAATTTTTAAAGGACATTTTTCTAAAATAAATATTAAGTACAGTGGGCCCTTGGTATCTGCTGGAGTTTAGTTCCAGGACTCCCCATGGATACCAAAATCCATGAATGGTCAAGTCTCATTAAATACAATGGCATAATGAAATTATCTTATAAAGATAAAGGTATTCCCCATTGACAAGGTTGTCACGTTGTGGCCGACCATAGGGGATGGTGCTCATCTCCATTACTAAGCCGAAGAGCCAGCGTTATCAGAGACTACTCTGTGATCCTGTGATCAGCATGATTGCACAGAACGCTGTTTACCTTCCCACCAAAGTGATACCTATTTATCTACTTACATTTGCATACTTTCGAACTGCTAGGTTGGCAGAAGCTGGGACTAGTGATAGGAGCTCACTCCATCATGCGGCACCTGGGCCTTGAACTGCCAACCTGGTGATCTTGCAATCAATAGAGCCAGCATTTTAACCACTTGAGCCACTGTTCCAGGACTCCCATGGATACCAAAATCCATGGATGGTAAAGTCTCATTAAATACAATGGCATAGTGAAATTGTGTCCCTTATATAAAATAGCAAAATCAAGGTTTGCTTTCTGGAATTTATTTTTTTAAAATATTTTCATGCCATGGATGATTAAATACATGGATACAGAATCTGTGGATATGAAGAGCTGACTGTAATGCATTAGTAACTAGTGTATCATTGCTTTCCTCTGTCCCCATTACTCTGGATTACTCTGCCTTGTGACAATGCTTAAGTTGACAGAGTGTGACTTGGCCAATATTACTTAAGAGTCCAAGTCTAACACTACTATACTGCACTGGCTCACTGCTTAGTAATGTTCTGTTTGTTGTTGTTGCTGCTGTTGCATGCCTTCAAATCATTTCTTACTTACAGTGACCCTAAGGGGAATCTATCATGGGGTTTTCTGGGGCTGAGAGTGAGTGATTAATCCAAAGTCACCCAGTGAGTTTCCATGGCCAAGCAAGGAATCGAACCCTGGTCTCCAGAATCATAGTCCAACACTCAACCCACTACACCACATTGACTCTCTTTTAGACACCAACTATATTGTATAGCCATCACGATCAGTCTTTTAAAACTGGCCAAAATATTTGTTTTGCCATGAGCTTTTACGAATTATATAATTCACTTCCTCAGATGCATTTCTAAGTACAATATACAAGCCTCGGCTACAGAGGCACGGCAATATGGGCCTCTTATGAGTCCTCACCAGTGTAGAACCATTTAAGCTATTAGATTTATTTACACATGGACTCCCTATTCCACAATCAATCCATGGGTCTGTTCTACGGGGACTAACCATGGACTTTATCACACAAGACTAAAAAGCACAATTTTGACAGAATAAAAACGTTTTTGGCCAGTATTTATCACACAATGTTGTGTCCATCCTACTGTTGCCTTGCATTCCATTAGTTATTGTAGTGCACCTTTTCATTGATGTAAAACCTGTCAATAGGTTCTCAATTCCTGTTCCAGTACTGCCTTGGTGCAATAGGTCCCTTCCGCTGCAGTTCCACTTCTCAGGCAGTCAGGTGGTGTAAGTGGGCATGGTTCTGCTCCTCTCCCCTCTCCCTCTCCCTCTCCCTCTCCCAGTGATCACAGCTGCCAATACTTTCCCAAAACCAGCTTCTATGTGTGCACATTCACACAGCAGCTGGCTTTGGGAAGGTGTTGGCAGCTGGGATTGCTTGTCTCCCAGCTTCTTCCTGAGGCATGGGGCTGCTGTGTGGATGTGCGCACAGCAGCACTGAGCTTTGAGAGTGGGGAGGAAGAGTGCCCCCAGCTGCCAATGCCTTCCTAAAGCAAGCTGCTACGCGCACATTCACACAGCAGCTGGCATCAGGAAGTAGTTGGCCGGCACAACTGCTTGTCCCTCCCTCTTCATTCGAAAGCTCAACAATGCTGTGTGTACATTCACACAGCTTCCCTGCAATTTGGGAGGATGTGGGGGAACAGGTAATAATAATAATAATAATAATAATAATAATAATAATAATAGTAATAATAATTTATTTATACCCCACCCCTCTGCATAGCAATCGGGGCTGCTTCCAACATAAAAATACAATACAGTAATATCAACCCTAAACCCCAACCCTCCCAACCCTTAAAAATATTAAACAACATCAAATTTAAAAACAGTTTCAAACAAATTACCAAAAAAAAAATACCAATTACAATAAATTATGGCAGAAGAGAGTATAATAGCAGCTGGAATGGGGGGGAAGAGAGGTACAGGGGACAAGCTCTCTGTACCTCTCTTCCCCCAGCTGCCAACACTTTCCTGAAGCTTGCTGCTGTGTTCCTATTCATACAGCAGTCAATTTCAAGAGGTGGTTGGCTTCTGTAACCACTCATCCCACCCTTCCTCCTGAAGGCAGAATTTAGCAGTGCAGAAAACAGATCATGTGACCATGGATCACCAAAGCACTATCATGGGGAAAAGTGTGATAAGAAATTATGCCAAACCAGTATGCTTCCATTCTTAAAACTAGCAAGATTGTGACAAGACAGTAGCGTGATGAAGTCCCATAGGGGTAGCATCTGCATGAAATGGGATCCAATAAAGCACAATTATATATTATTAAAACTAGCCATACAGGAACAAATTAAGAATTATGAATGCAAGAGTACAATGGCTTGTGCAGAAAGATAAAGAAAATTACTACAATGACCAATGCAGAAAAATAGAAAGCAACAACAAAAAGGGAAGAACAATAGATCTCTTTCACAAGATCCAGGAAATCAAAAGAAAATTCAAACCAAGGACTGGGGCGATCTATTTCAATAAAAATAACATAATTCAAGACCAAGAAGGAATAAAAAGACGTTGGATGCAATACACAGAAGAATTATACAAAAGAGATGTCAAAATGAAGGACACATGGAATGAAGAGCCATATGAAGATGAACCCCAAAACCTAAAAAGTGAGGTGGAAACTGCAATAAGAGAAATAGCGAAAAACAAATCACCAGGAACAGATGATATTCCAATTGAACTGCTGCAATCCACATTGACAGAGTCAACTCTAGTGCTAACCAACATATGTCAACAGATATGGAAAACAAAACTATGGTCAACAGATCGGAAGTGATCAATTTACATCCCCATCCACATAAAGGGAGACACAAGAGACGGCAGCAACTATAGGACCATATCACTGATCTCCCATGCAAGCAAAATCATGCTCAAAATTTTGCAACATAAACTCCAACCACACATGGAGAGAGAAATCCCAGATGTCCAAGCAGGGTTCAGGAAAGGAAGAGGCACTAGGGATCACACTGCAAACATACGATGGCTAATGGAGCACACCAGGGAATTCTAAAAGAAAATCAGCATCTGCTTTATAGCCTATAGCAAAGCCTTTGACTGCATAGATCATGAAAGGCTATGGAACACCCTTAAGGACATGGGAGTGCCAACAGATCTGATAGCCGTAATGCGGAATCTGTACTCATGACAAGAGGCTACTCTCAGAACAGAAGACGGAGAAACAGAATGGTTCCCAATTGGCAAAGGGGTCAGACAAGGGTGCATCCTTTCACCCTAACTGTTCAATGTAGAATATATTGTCAGAAAAACAGGCTTGGACACAGAAGAAGGAGGAATGAAAATAGGAGGAAGGAATATCAACAATCTAAGATATACAAATGACACCATAATACTAGCAGAAAACCTCACAGACCAGGAATACCTACTAAGGAAGATCAAAGAAGAAAGCGCAAAGGCAGGCTTAATGTTGGACATAAAGAAAACAAAAAATATTGACCACTGAGGACCTTCACAAGTTCAACCTAGACAATGAAGAAATAGAAATAGTAAATACCTGGGATCAACATTGATAGAAATGGAGACTGCAGTCAGGAAATCAGAAGAAGACTAGGAATGAGGAGGGTGACTATGAAAGAACTAGAAAAGATCCTAAAATGCAAAGATATATAACTCAGCACAAAGGTTAGAATCATACAAGCCATTGTATTCCCTATTACCATTTATGGATGGGAGAGCTGGACAGTTAAGAAAGATGATAGGGGAAAAAATCAACTCCTTTGAGATGTCGTACTGGAGAAGAGTGCTGAGGATCCCATGGACAGCCAAAAGGACAAACAAATGGGTCCTAGAGCAGATCAAGCCAGAAACCTCCTTGGAAGCTGACCAAACTGAGACTGTCGTACTTCGGACACATCATGAGAAGAGAGGACTCTTTGGAAAAGACAATAATGCTGGGAAAGGTGGAGGGAAGTAGGAAGAGAGGAAGGCCACATGCCAGATGGATGGACTCTATTATGAAGGAGGTCACTATGGGAATTAAGGGGTTGCAGGAATTAAGCAGAGCAGTGGAGGACAGAGGGTCTTGGAGATGTCTCATCCATAGTGCTGCCATGAGTCGAGATTGACTCGAGGGCAGTTAAAAACAAAAACACCTTCAGCATCAAGTGGGATGCAGAAAATAACAACTGCATTATTAACACTGGTCATAAACCTTCAAAGGGCTGGTTGGCATAAATATCTTGGCATCTGTAAATCAGATGCACAGGCTGGTAGGCTGCTAATTGCCTCTGAAGTGTTAAGGCAATATATCCTACTTTCAGATTTATTCTCTTGAAACAGAGCCCTTTCTTTTAAGAAGAAGAAAGAGGCAATTAACAGCCTAGCAGTCATGTGTTAGTTTACAGATGCCAAGATGTTTATACTAAATCACCTCCGTGAAGGTTTTTGGCCAGTGTTAATAATCCAATTGCCATTTTCTGCATTCCACTTGATTCTGATCTCACCCTCACAAACAATGTTGCAGTGCATATTTATCTGAAATATTCCATCAGTGCCTCAATGAAGTGGATTGCAATCTACGGAAGCTCATGCTAAATAAATCTTAAAAGGAGCTTCAAGACTCCCTTTTCCTATTTGCATACTGAAAGAGACTAACATGACTACCTCTCCAGAAAATGGCTACATGGTCAATAGCCACTGATAGCCAATCTTACCCTTTCTTTGCCCCAGTTGGTTATTCTTGGTATAGGAAAAGAGCCACAGAGTTTATGGTGATATACCACAAACTTGTCAATAAGAATATATTCTTATGAATATACCACAAGGTTTGTGATATACCACAATTTTGTGGTATATCACAAACTTTGTGGTATACTGATAAGAATGGAGATGGGGTCAAGAAATAAAAAAAACACTAACGATGGAAAGGGCAGCCATGAAAGAACTAGACAAGATCCTAAAGTGTGAAGATATACAACAGAGCACTAAAGTCAGAATTGTCAAAGCCATTTTATTCCCACTTACCATGTTTGGATGTGAGAGCTAGACAGTGAAGAAAGCCAACAGAAAGAAAATCAACTCATTTAAGATATGGTGCTGGAGATGAGTGCTGAGAATACTGTGGACAGCCAGGAAGACAAACAAAAGGATCCTAGAACAGATCAAGCCTGGAATCTCCTTGGAAGCCAAGGTGAAGAAACTGATGCTGTCGTACTTCAGCCACATCATGAGAAAGCACAACTCATAAGGAAAGACAATAATGCTGGAAAAGGTAGAAGGCAGCAGAAAGGAAGACAGAAGGATAGACTCGATCAGGGAGTCGTGGGCTTGAATTTTCAGGACCTAAGCAGAGCTATAGATAGAGGAGAGGGAGGCTTGGAGATGTCTCATCCACAGAGTCACCAAGAGTTGTGGTCAATTCATGGCCAGTTAACAATGACCACAAGGTTTACGGTGTCTTGAGTCTAACTTTTTGGGAGCGGGGGGGGGGGGAACTGATAGAAATAAACTGGTTAGTTGTTTGATTGATTGTTTGATAGACTGATTTAAGCCTTAAAATTTTTTACCCTGCTAGCCTCTAGATCAGGGGTAGGCAACCTTTCCCCTTTAAGGACCGAGGGACTTCAGCTCCCAGAAACCTCAGCCATGCCAGCCAATAGTCCCATGTTGGCCAATAGCTCCTGGGATTCTGGGAGCTGAAGTCCCTTGGCCCTTAAAGGGGAAAGGTTGCCTACCCCTGCTCTAGAT